TTCTAAAGGGGTAGCAGCCAAAAACCAGATAATAAACAAATCGATTTCGGCCCTTAGGGAATAGGTGTCCTCGATGAAAAGTATCTCGAAAAATTACTCATATATTAAGACAATTTATGGGCCAGATCAAATTTACTGAGCGAACTTCTAAAGGGGTAGCAGCCAAAAACCAGATAATAAAAAAATCGATTTCGGCCCTTAGGGAATAGGTGTCCTCGATGAAAAGTATCTCGAAAAATTACTCATATATTAAGACAATTTATGGGCCAGATCAAATTTACTGAGCGAACTTCTAAAGGGGTAGCAGCCAAAAAGCAGATAATAAAAAAATCGATTCCGACCCTTAGGGAATAGGTGTCCTCGATGAAAAGTATCTCGAAAAATTACTCATATATTAGGACAATTTATGGGCCAGATAAAATTTACAGAGCGAACTTCTAAAGGGGTAGCAGCCAAAAACCAGATATTAAAAAAATCGATTTCGACCCTTAATAGGGAATAGGTGTCCTCGATGAAAAGTATCTCGAAAAATTACTCATATATTAAGACAATTTATGGGCCAGATCAAATTTACTGATCGAACTTCTAAAGGGGTAGCAGCCAAAAACCAGATAATAAAAAAATCGATTCCGACCCTTAGGGAATAGGTGTCCTCGATGAAAAGTATCTCGAAAAATTACTCATATATTAGGACAATTTATGGGCCAGATCAAATTTACTGAGCGAACTTCTAAAGGGGTAGCAGCCAAAAACCAGATAATAAAAAAATCGATTTCGACCCTTAATAGGGAATAGGTGTCCTCGATGAAAAGTATCTCGAAGAATTACTCATATATTAAGACAATTTATGGGCCAGATCAAATTTACTGAGCGAACTTCTAAACGGGTAGCAGCCAAAAACCAGATAATATAAAAATCGATTTCGGCCCTTAGGGAATAGGGGTCCTCGATGAAAAGTATCTCGAAAAAGTACTCATATATTAGGACAATTTATGGGCCAGATAAAATTTACAGAGCGAACTTCTAAAGGGGTAGCAGTCAAAAACCAGATAATAAAAAAATCGAGTTCGACCCTTAATAGGGAATAGGTGTCCTCGATGAAAAGTATCTCGAAAAATTACTCATATGTTAAGGCAATTTATGGGCCAGATCAAATTTACTGAGCGAACGTCTAAAGGGGTAGCAGCCAAAAACCAGATAATAAAAAAATCGATTTCGGCCCTTAGGGAATAGGTGTCCTCGATGAAAAGTATCTCGAAAAATTACTCATATATTAAGACAATTTATGGGCCAGATCAAATTTACTGAACGAACTTCTAAAGGGGTAGCAGCCAAAAACCAGTTAATAAAAAAATCGATTTCGGCCCTTAGGGAATAGGTGTCCTCGATGAAAAGTATCTCGAAAAATTATTCATATATTAAGACAATTTATGGGCCAGATCAAATTTACTGAGCGAACTTCTAAAGTAGTAGCAGCCAAAAACCAGATAATAAAAAAATCGATTTCGGCCCTTAGGGAATAGGTGTCCTCGATGAAAAGTATCTCGAAAAATTACTCATATATTAAGACAATTTATGGGCCAGATCAAATTTACTGAGCGAACTTCTAAAGGGGTAGCAGTCAAAAACCAGATAATAAAAAAATCGATTTCGGCCCTTAGGGAATAGGTGTCCTCGATGAAAAGTATCTCGAAAAATTATTCATATATCAAGACAATTTATGGGCCAGATCAAATTTACTGAGCGAACTTCTAAAGGGGTAGCAGCCAAAACCCAGATAATAGAAAAATCGATTTCGGCCCTTAGGGAATAGGTGTCCTCGATGAAAAGTATCTCGAAAAATTACTCATATATTAAGACAATTTATGGGCCAGATCAAATTTACTGAGCGAACTTCTAAAGGGGTAGCAGCCAAAAACCAGATAATAAAAAAATCGATTTCGACCCTTAGGGAATAGGTGTCCTCGATGAAAAGTATCTCGAAAAATTACTCATATATTAGGACAATTTATGGGCCAGATAAAATTTACAGAGCGAACTTCTAAAGGGGTAGCAGTCAAAAACCAGATAATAAAAAAATCGATTTCGACACTTAATAGGGAATAGGTGTCCTCGATGAAAAGTATCTCGAAAAATTACTCATATATTAAGACAATTTATGGGCCAGATCAACTTTACTGAGCGAACTTCTAAAGGAGTAGCAGCCAAAACCCAGATAATAAAAAAATCGATTACGACCCTTAGGGAATAGGTGCCACATCCAGACGTCGATCACCTCATTTTGTTGATGCCTAGACGTATACAGGAGTTTATTCAACGCATAATTTTCTTCTTATTATGTGTAAATAAAATTTCGTAAGAATTTTATCGTTTCATTCTTGATGTAAGACTACCTCATTGCCAAAAAAATCAAGTTGAAGAAATTATTTTTTCTGTATGTAATGTCACTGGCTATATATTGACAGGAATGCCATTTTGCCCCTAAAATCCATCAACTAGCATAATCGTGGTTTTCTCTGGAAATTCACATAGTTTGTTTTATATTTTCAAATTGTAGAACGAAAACAATACAGCCCTTAAAGGAGCTTTTTAAACCTCTCGAATTGGTAGGCTTAAAAAATAGCACAAAAGGAAGAAACGCTGTTTACCCTTTGAAAAGCTTGGAGATAGCCTAGCGTGCTTTCCTGATGAAGGAATGTGAAATGTTGATCTTCCGGTTGAAAACATGTTTAATCATTTCATCATGTATCTTACAAGAAATATCGCAAGACTTATTTCCGTTTTTAAAAGACAAAATATTGTCCCTTTCTGTATATTTTGTGACCCATCATAAAATAAACATTTATGTAATAGGCATGTGTCTTCAAAGGTTAAAATATTACTACAATACTGAAGCTTTAACAACAGGTTTAAAATGCCTGATGTCATCACCTACGAATTTGACAAAATCATACACAAAATTTGTCACACATATCGATACGTAATCGCAAAGCAAGAAAAAACAAAAATGACACAATGCTTCTGGGTTCGTAGCTGAAGTTAATGGTTTGGATCTAGAACTCCACACTTCGAGCCCTAACAAATACCTAATCAACAGTAGAATATTTAAACCATAGGTCGGGATCCTTCAGTCCCAAAGCACGTTATTTCACAAAGTTGAAACCTGCGAAAAACCCACTGCTTCGCAAATTTTGGGATGAATAAATAACCTACAGACCAGGTGCTTTCACAATATTCTTTGACTAAGTTACAGCTATATCAATCTGTCGTGACGAAGTTCCCCTAAAAATTCCGAAACGTGATCAGAATTATGTACGCCACTGAGCCGTAGTAATTCCTGAGAAAGGCGTACAAAGGTCCAGTAGAACCTAAGTAGGTACTGGATCCAGTAAAATAGCTGAATATTCACAAATAGTTTCAGCTTTTATACATCTTCTCTGGCAAACTGTTGAACATTTTTCGACCATGAGCTTCTAACTTGGATGGTATTATAAATAGTGGCATATAATTGTTTTTCTCAATGGTGTAGATATTTTTAGTAGCACATTTCTATTCCAAGGCCAATATCCGAAAACTCCTGGTCTATAATAGTGTTTCAATGAAAAGAACGCCTGTTGAAAAGTATAAATAAATAAAGTAGCGTAACATTAGTGTAGTAGGTTATGACATAACATTCCAGCTGAATTTTGAGAGAACCGACTTCTAAAAATACTGTTTTGTTTGCGAAACTAGTTCAGCATTCATAGAACATGAGGGGTACTCTCCTCCAAAAGCGTATAACATAATATGAATGGCAAGGGAACAGGCATATGATCTAACAAGAGGCGTAGCTTGTCCGAAACCGCACCCAGTTGTGGAGGGTGAAATTGGGGCTAAATATTTTTCACGAAAGAAACAAAAATGCCTGAATTAAATTGTATGAATAAATATTTGCGTATTGACTAATGTAATTATTTGTTTTTTACAATTAACGATAAGATGGGCAAATAAGAAATATAAACTCTTCTTGTCTTTTGCTTACTACGACAGCGAATATTTTAGACTTTCGAATAGCAAGTTCTTTATGTTTTGAAATATCTACAACATATAAACTCATATCAGTTAGTTCTACTGAGATGTCTGTCGGTTCAATTAATCTCGTAATCTCGGAACGGGCACAAAGATTCGAATGAAATTTGGTGTGCTGAATCCTGTGGGGCATTTTTTACAAGCAAAATATATTGTCATTAATTGTGATTGTAGTTGAAAATATTTTTTATTTGCTTCAAGTAACAATAAAATAAACTGTAAGAAACCTTGTCCTTGGGCTAACAAAATAACAATATGTAAATATTTTAAAATTAGTTCACAAATGTAGGTATGTATTTGTTCATAAATTATATAAGTATTCACAATTATTATAAACATTTTTTTCTATCTAATAACTAATTGATTTTTGTAAGAACTTTATTTTTAAAGGCTTTGATCCTGGAGGTTTCTTTAATTTCATTCTGTAAAATACAGAACCGAGATAAGTATAAATTATTTGTTTTTATTACTTTATGAACTTATACGAATATGATAACTAAAAAAAAATTGAAATGACTTGGGCCGAAATCAAGATAAAAAATAGGGCTGCGTCCTGTCACCAAACTGTCGTATGGGTGTTATACCTAATTTAATCAATAAACAGCCAAAGCAGGGCTCTTGAAAGAATTCCCCCAACATTCAAAATATTGCTGCAGGCGCCATCATACAGACGGTAGTTCAACCATGAGATATGTGACAGAAAACTCTTAGCTACTGCTGTCATTTCAAGAATTAAATTTATAGTTACTGTTTTCAATAATAGATGGCGATACATTTAAATCAACTATCAACGTCTTATGTTTTTGCTCAGTTCACAATCTATTTGCACATTTTATTAAAAAAAAGTTATAAAAAATTACGATTTCTGTAATGAAAAAGTTGGCGTTTGTAGAAGGCAGAGGGGCATTAAGTGATGATCAAACCCACCAAAATAACTTTGTAATAAAACTTTATTGAAAGGTTTTGGGGTAAACAATCATAGATCATAACATAAGTTTTGGTTTTTCATGCGTTGTTATATATAACTCAAAAGCTACTACAAATGTACAGTAATTAATTTCATCTCTTAACAACAGAACTGGGATATAGCATCATGGTTCGTTGTACTCTGGAAAACCTTTCGAAAATATTTCAAAGATTCATAATACCCTGCATATAAGTTATAAAAAATGTGTCGATATTTACAAAATACTGTGCATTTATCATAATCGTTTATCAAAATTTCTTGACAATTCTAAAATTTTCAAATCACAAAAATAAGCCTGCTTGCTACATTTGTATGATCTTAGACTAACAATTTAGTCATGATTAATTTTCCTTTACCATGATAAAAATAAAATGTTGATATGGCAAAATATGATGTATGTACACACATACCTCAAATGATGGTTATCATATGACCACCAAAAATTCGGCACAAGAAAGTTTGGTTTATACCAAAATCGGAAATGTCAAAACCAAATCACTGAGCTATGTGAATAAGACATAGGAAAGCATTATTTTCCATTTAAAAAAAGAAATCTAAACACAAATATTCAAGTTTGAGTCATATGTAAATATTATATCAAAATATTTTTGTATAATTCATTGTGATGAATAATGTTACATATTTTATGTTGGACCAATTATATATCCAGTACCCTATCAACAAAATTAGCTGGAAATTGACCAGTGTTTCCATTGCAACTCCCATATAGCCAATCTTTATCAATTTTTTTCAGAACCTTGATCATTTGGCCAGGCTTTAAAGCTAAGTCACCAGGCATTTGTGGTTCAAATTCATATAGAGCCATCACAGTATCATTATGTTCAACTAAAGGTACTTGGACATCAATAAAGTTTGCTGGGAACATTCCTTCCTTGTCCAGAACCTTCCCATAATACCACTCTTCATTGATTTTTCTTATTAGCACAATAACATCGTTTGCCTAAAAAAATAAAACAAATTGACTCCAGTTTGCAAAAACCTCAATGTCAGAATTGCTTTCAAATCAGCAAAAATATATTTAAATTTGAATGGATGACCATACACACATTATTTTGCATTTTGATTATTCTGTGGTGTCCAGTATACATAAAAATTTGTAATAAAGGTCAAGGTGATTTAAAAATATATAAAATAAGAATTGGAAGAGATTTTTTTCACGCACAGCATTTTTTCCTTGATTTTCACCAGTGAACATACTATTGCTTCAAAAACATATGCACAGGTATGTGTTGTTCATCATCAGCAAGCATTTCCAACATATGATAATGTGTATAGTACAACATAAACATTATACTCATGTATCAGCAAAGACAGTTTTACTGCTAAACAGTCCTTCTTACACACCTTGCGAAAGAATATGTGTCAGTGGTCAGCTAGTGAAACGTACCTGAAAAGATAGATCTGAAGGTTCAGTTCCTTGGTACTCATATAGAGCTATCCCATATGCAATATTTACATCATCAACTTCCTTTGGGGGACTAGGAGGTGGAACATCAGGCATTGGTAACTTCTCGTTGTTTGAAACAGTCTCTTTTATGTTATTAGGCACCCTTATGATAGTTGGTCCAGGACCAGATGGAATGTTTTTACTTATACCCTGTTTTGTAGTTGTATAGAAGCTGCTTTTACTTTGTGTTTGACTGCAAGACGCACTTGAGGTGTTTGTTGTGCTTGATGTCATTGGCCATATATTGTTCAGAAAAGGAAAATCATAATCAAGACTCTTTTTGCTTGATGCAAGACTGCTAGTGCTGCTGCTAAACGAGCTTGACACGCTTCCACCGATGTTGCGTTTCCTCTCGTTTTTTGGAGAGTCTGGACTGTCCAGATCAATCAGGTTGTCCGATTGCTGACTCAAGAACAAGGACGACTTACTTTTGTACTTGCTGAAATCCGGGGGTGGAGGCCGTGGTGGAGGTTTTTTCTTGTTCTTTCCTACTTTCCCACTGAGCATTATGAATGGCATTATCAAACATTAAAGATGATTTGATTAAACGACATAAATATAGGATTCTTTATGTTATATTAGATGATGTTTTTGTTCCTGTTTTAAATCGTTGTGCGTCATCACAAACGTCAATGCGCATGGAATAGAAAGTTTACAAGACCGGACTCCCGATACTCAAATCAAACTCGAAGGGAGTGGTGTTAGTCGGGCAGTGTTGCAAGCTTAACAGAATTTTCTAGATTTTAAAGACGTACGGGAAAATCACTTTGGTTGGGTTGTGCAAATGCTTTTTGTATACTCGGTTCCAAAAACTAAAAGATCAGCGGAACACATCGTACACCACTTCCCGCGCGGGATTTCTTTTAATATGACGGGGTAATTCACGCACGAGACACACAATTCAAAGGTACCAACGTTGCGCCAGCAGTGGCGTGCGATATGGTTTGCTGATATCATCCTTTTCGCTACCAGGCTAGAATAAGGAGTTGACGAGGTACTATCTCTCTGGATATCATTAGACTAGCATATCTTGCTCTGCACACATGAATAAACTGCTGATCATCCCAAATTTATGAGTTTACGGAAAAGTTCTGTTTACTTAAAAATTCTTATACTTCCTCCCTTATACGTATAGTCCCTATTAACATATTCTTTCGGTGACATCGTGGAAACGCTTCCGGAATTCTTAATACCCTACTCGTCATACACGATGTTTAGATGCGTTTCATTCCTTTTTATAATAATTTAGATAGCACGGGTGGAATACTAATTAGATCTCCGATAAGCATATGATGTGGGATTACTGTTTTTTGCAAGACGTAATATTAGTGATTCTTTCCATGATTCAGGAAATAATCTGTTTATTAGACAATAATTTATAATATGGAGGACGCAGCTCGAAATAACAGGGAAACATAATTTAAGCATCCTAAGCGATACACCGTCACTTCCTATACTTCCTAAGGCATTCGATTTTATGGATCGAAGGTATGGAACTAACTCAGTTATATTAATTGGTTTAAAAATGAAACTGTTATTAGAATAATGATTTTTGTCATAGTATTCATACATGTTAGTAGTTTGTTAATACTAAATGGTACTGAAGATTATTCCATCGTACCGATTCACACAATCTCGTGTGAAAATCAGTTTTTCTAGAACTAGTAACAGAGCTGGCAACAGCTTGAGTTTACGAGTCTACTGCGAGTACGTATGGAGTATCTGGAATCTGGACCTTGTGATTCTAGAAGCTTGTGTTCTGTGGCACAGAGTGGCGTGATGAGATTCAAAATCATTCGAATAGCAGTTAAAGTGAACAAAGAGAGCGCCATGCTTGGCCTGTCTGACCAATCAACCAATGAATAAGTGATCTGAGGAGGTCATGTGCACTCCAAATTTGACGTTACTTGTTTTACGTTTCCTCTGCCTTTTGTATTATATGCATGGTATGGTGAAACCCTGTTTACCTGTTTTGTGATTCATGTGTCTTTTTGATTATTGTTTATGCTAGGATTATGGAAACTAGCTGACTTTGCACAAACACTGTTATAATATATAACTGAAAAAGAGTGTAAAGGTTGCTGGAAGCTGTAGCTTTAGAAATAAATCTAAATCTGGTACAGTGGCGATGGCATTCCACTCCCTAATCATGAAAGTAAACCTAACACCTTTTTGCTAGTCTACAATGAAAACTATTTGTAGCCATGTTATTTTGTTGATAGCTGCAAATTTATCGTTTGTTGCCGGATATTTGAATATATATCTAACAATATCTGAGGTACAGCGACTTCTAGGTGAGTATTTCCAGTCTTTACATTTTCTAATATGAAATTGGAACATTTCAAAGAGCAAACTAAGCGCCCATGGATTATTACAGAAACGTCTAGCAATTTGTATATTCAATATGCCCCAAAACGTGAAGAGCAAAGGAGTTCTGAGAATACCAACTCATATCTCTGAGGGAGGGGCCTAAGTTCTTGATACAGAAACACAAAACATAAATCTTGACCACATTCTTAAGATGGGAATAACCATCCCTCTCCGCTTCTTTTGCATTTGATTTGTTCTTTTACCGTTCTTGTATCCTTTTTTCTCTCCCATATTGACATCCAATTTTTCCCATCTACTCCTTTGACTTTTGAACCTCCTTTTGATCTTATTTTGAACTACCTTTACATTTCTTTTGACCTTTTTGGCCCCTCTTTGCAATTGTCATGATAACTTATTTATTTTAGTCATTCTTTTGATATTCATTGACCCCCCTTTACCTGTCTCATTTCATCCTTTTTTACTCTTGATTTTCATTTGCCCTCTTTTTGATCTGATTTTTCCCTGTCTGATCTCTCATTGACCTCCATTTGGCCTCCCTATTTGTCTTTTTTGTTCTTCTTTTCAATCCGTATGATTTTGAACAATATTTGATTGTTTAGTTGTTCAGTTTTTTTAGTTTTTTTTTTTAGTATTTGTTTGTAACTATTTTTATGCACGTTTTAATATTTTAATTTAGTAAATAGTCAAACTTTATGTTCATATGTTAGATTCTTTATTTAAGATGTGCGTGAATTTTATTAGGTTAAGATTGTACTTTTACAACCTGTAACCGAATGGGTTTATCCCGTAAATTTGTAAATAAATAAATAAATAAATAAATTTTCAGGTGTATCAGCTGAGTTGTACTATATTAGAAACGGTAATATTAACAATCAAGCATTGAATTTTATAGTTCAAATACCATCAAATATTAATGCTTTGTATTTCACATGGGAGGGCTTAACAGATCAACCAGTAAGTATACATAATCCTATTTATATTTATAATTTAATATACAGGGTGACTTTGAAGTTGAGTCATTAATTTTCAGATAATGATTGTAGAAGGAAGATAAACCAAAATATGTGTGTAAAAATAAAAAAATATTAAAAAAAAATGTTACCTTGTTTTATAAAGTATCCTCCCGACAAGTATTTCAGTGCGGACCTGTGCGCCCAAAAGCATGTCACAAAAACTGTTCGAAATGATTTCCGTTTTGCTCGACGCACAGCTGGGCGCGTCTTAGCCATGTCTCTTTACAAGCACGCAATAAAATCACTGGTTGATTTCTGATCACTGTACTCATTTCCTCAATTCGAGCACGTAATTCTTCGCGTGTATTAACCGGTGTTTTATACACTAGAGTTTTTAGCCAACCCCACAAACAAAAGTCTAAAGGATTTAAGTCCGGAGACCTTGGCGGCCAAGGTACAAAACCGCCACGGCCGATCCAACGATTATTAAATTGTCTATTTAAAAATTCACGCACATTTCTTGCATAATGGGGTGGTGCCCCATCTTGTAAAAACCACATGTTTTGTCTAATATTTAAAGGCACATCTTCCAGTAAACCAGGCAAATTGTGTTGCAAGAAATCAAAATAATTTTCACCAGTTAAGCGATTTGGTAATTCAAAAGGCCCCACTAAAATTCCATTAACAATTCCCGGCCACAGGTTGATTGGTTCAAATCGCTGTTGAAAATTGGTTTCCCTTATTTCATGGGGATTTTCAATAGCCCAAACGTGAGAATTACGTGAATTAATAATTCCGTTTCTAGTAAAGAGCGCTTCATCACTCACTAAAATTTGATTTAAAAAATTGTCATCATTTTGATGTTTATTTAAAAGCCAATTGCAAAAGTCAACCCTTTGTTCATGATCTTCCGGTTGTAAGGCCTGCACTTTTTGTATGTGAAACGGATAGAACTGATTTTCACGTAGAGTTTTCCAAGTTTTATACTGACTAATCGCCAATTGAGTTGAAATTTGTCGGGTGCTTACTGTTGGATCATCACTTACTAATTCTAAAATTTGTTCTTCTAGTTCTATTTGATCGTGTGGTCTTGGAGCACCGGCATGATCTCCTCTGCGAGGTCTTAAGTCACCTGATTCACGAGCTCTTTGCACTACATTAACAAAGGCACGAGGGGTTGGTTGCACTCGATTGGGAAACCGATCCGCATAGATCCGTGATGCCGCGGCAGCATTTTGTAAAGACTCCCCGTAAATAAGAACCATGTCCACAAGTTCAGCATTTTCGTAAACATGTGCCATTTTTGATTTGAGCCTCGCAACAGACACGATTATTCACTTACGCGTTACCGACTACCGACTGATACTGACTGTATACAACTGAAGAAAATAATTGTAAAAAGATCGTTCCAAATTCTTTCGCTTTTTTGTTTCCGATGCGATGAACGGATAAGGCGGATTATATCTGTTGTTGCCAAACACGAGAACATAATATCATTATTGAGACAGGGCGGTACTCAAACTTCCAAAGGGCTATAACTTTGTTACTTTAATTTTACCAGAAAAATGGTAAAGGAAAAAAACATTTCTTTTGATCAGATCTACTCACTGTTAAAATAAATGACTCAACTTCGAAGTCACCCTGTATATATTTTTTTTCAGTTACCTTATGCGATTACTGTACACACATCAAACCCAGAGGTGCTGCCACCTCCAAAACTAAACATATCATATGTTGGAACAGTGCCAAAGACTACTCAAACATTCTTAGTGTCATTGCCATGCTCAGGCCTCACAGAGGCAGAAGTTGATATAAAGATTACAATCAATATTACACTAACTAATAAAAATGTCACCAAGTTAACGTTTAATAGGAAAAAAATGTGTCTTTTGTTAGACAAATCTGTGAGCTTGATTGCACAAGATTCTTTACTACAGGTAAGACATTCATATACATACTCTTTTGTTCTGTTTTTACCTTTAATTTGAACCCTTTTTGTCCTTTTGTCCTCTCCTTTGATCTTTTTAGCTTTTTGAGCTTTTTTTGACCTGTTTGTCACCCTTTTGTTTTCCATTTGCTCCTCTTTTGATCTTTTCAGACCTCATTTTGCCATTTTTTGACCTTTGGGCACTCTTGGTGCTTTTTTGCACTGCTTTCTTTTGACCTGTTTTTGCCCTTTTTGGGTTTTCTGATTGCCCTTTTTTTTGACCTCCTTTTGCCTGTTCTTGCCCTCGTTTTTTTGCTGTTTTTTGACTTCTTTTGCCCTCCATTTGACCTCCCTTTGCTCTTTTTTTGATCTCATTTATCCTTTTGACCTTCATTTTACCATTTTCCTCCTTTTGCCCTTATTCCTTTAATTTCCCTTTGCTCTTTTCATTTTTATTTTTTTTTGACCTTTGCCCTTTTTCTGTCCTTGCAACAGTTCTTTTCTTCGCTTTCCTTTTGACTCTGCTTTGTCCTTTTTATGAATTATAGTTTTTTTCATGCCAACACACACAATTCTTCTAGCTTCCAAATTCTGCCAGCATATTCTACATAGCGATGTGCTGTGCTCTATTACTGATGGTAATGCTAATCCTACTGGTGACCCTGTACTATGTGAAGGATAAGAAGTGTCGGTCATCCGGTAACACCCAACCTACAACAGCAGCGACTACGTTTTTGGCAGCTTTGCCTAGAAATAGTGTGAACGCATCTTCTTATGGTAGCTTCATTAGGATGCCTAGTTATTCACTCATTGATGAACGATCCAAAGATTTACAAGATAGGATAGCTGATTTGACAGTTCAAAGGTATATTTAATATCGACTTTCCTTCTCTTGCTCATTCTAGGACTTGGTGCAAATGGTATTGATTTTTCAAAGAGCTGATTTTTTAAATTGACTAAACAAGATTCTATATTTCAGATGCCGAATTAGGCTTAGCAGTATCTTCTTAGAAGGTACATTTGGAAGAGTCTACTATGGCTCTTACACAAACGAGGATGGAGCAGAGGAGACAGTGATTATAAAAACAGTGACAGATCATGCAAGTCAAGTACAAATTGCTCTGTTGCTTCAAGAGGGCATGACAATGTACTCATTGAACCATAAAAACATACTAAGTATATTGAGAGTGTCGATACAGGACCATTCAGCGCCTTTTTTGTTATATCCATACAAAAATACTACGAATTTGAAGATGTTCTTGCAGAAATGTAAAGTTTCATCAGAGGGAGTGCATCACACTTTGACTACACAAGAAGTTGTAGAGATGGCTCTACAAATAATCCAAGCAATGCAATATTTGCACAAGAAACATTTGTTGCATAAAGATCTGGCTGCAAGAAATTGCATGTAAGTTTCTGGTCGATACAGGATGATCATGAAATAAGTCTATCAATTTTAACTATTGATCTCCTTTTGCCATTTTTTTACTTTTGTAATTCTTCTGACCTTCTTTTGAGCTTGTTTTGACTTTTTTGCCTGCAACACTTCTGTGGGCAACTTCCTTGTGCAGCTAATTTGAGCTTATTTTTTCCTTACCCTGCATGATTCAGCATTAAGGAAGTATTAGCATAAAATTAAATGCGTAACAACTAAAGCTTATCAATTAATTACAGTTTTAATCGCGAAAACTTTCTAAGATGGACTAACTTGTGCCGAGGTGCAGAGTCAACACACTTGACGCCATTTTTTCTTGTAGGGTGGATAACGAACTCCACGTTCAAGTAGCAGATAACGCGTTGTCAAGGGACCTCTTCCCGTCTGATTACCATTGCCTGGGGGACAATGAAAACAGGCCTGTCAAATGGCTGGCAATAGAAAGTTTGCTGCACAAAACATTTTCCCCTGCTTCTGACGTATGGTCTTTTGGAGTATTGGTCTGGGAGCTAACCACACTTGCTCAACAGCCTTACATTGAAATTGATCCGTTCGAGATGGCTGCTTACTTGAAGGATGGATATAGATTGGCTCAACCGATCAACTGTCCTGATGAATTGTGAGTATGATCGTGAAAAAATCGTAGTGTAATGGGGCCGAAATTGGAGGTAAGAAATGGGACGCGTTTTTACTCATTTTTACTTCCTACGGCAACTGACGAGGAAGTATTGTAAACAGCGAAAAATTTCTAAATTGAGATATTAAGGTTTTTGGTTGTTATATGACATGTATGTACATCACGAAAATCTATGTCACTCATTTCAGATTCATTTATTGATCCAGTTAGATCTACATTGTAGACATTGGATAAGTCAGTGTAGACAGATTAAAATATACATAAAATGAAGTACAATACAAATAACAATAGGAACAAAAAAAAAACAATATGATACATACCACATGGCAATAAATTATTTATTCAGATTTATCAGAAGCACTGTGGAATGTGTCAAATTCACCTAGGTCCTAAAAACCGCAATCCCCTAGCTTGTTCCGGCAACGTCTTTTGAAAAGCCCTAAGGAGTTTAGGTTTTTGTTCTCCGGAGGTAATAAGTTAAAAAAGTATATTCCTGATGTTATGGGAGATTTTGAATGAAACGTATGATATGACACATGCCTAAATATATTATTTTTATTACGTCGGTCTATCTATCTGTCCTCTAATCTTATCACTTGAAAAGTACGTCACTGATACACAGCTACAGGAGAATATTTATATATACTAAGTGACACATAAAATGCGTCATCCAGAATTATTCATTAAATTCGATAAAAACTTGTAAACGTGTTTGCTATCATGGAAGTATACGCTGCAAGCAAGATATAATCATATTGTGGCGCTATAAAAGAAAGTACACTGTCTAGATAATCAGCAAATAAGACTACACTACTAGAAGGTGCTCTGAAAAATATACAAAGTAAAGGTGCGTCGCGAATGGTTCGTCTTGCATGCCTCGGGCTGTTGGACGTGTATGCTCACAGTGAGCATTCTTATCATACGATCGTTGCGAACGCCGCCTCAGTGCGAGTGGACGGACGGGTGTTATATGCGTTGGATTTTCAGTAAAGTATAATTAAAAAACTGGGGTCTCGCATCCCTTTTATACCTTGATATTGTTCATTAGACGAACTTATAAATTATGTTGTCTTTAGGAATGCTCTCTTTTCAGGTTTGCAGTCATGGCATATTGTTGGGCCATGAGCGCAGAAGAAAGGCCCACATTTACACAGCTACATGTTTGTTTGCAGGAATTCTATGCACAATTGACAAGATACGTTTGACAAACCAGACCTACTTTTCACAAAGTTTTGTTGCAATTTAGCTCACAGATTGTCTTTACTGTGCTGCAAAGTGAAGCTTTAAATGAGAAAACTAATAATTGTTGCTAAGGGAAAGTACTCTGTCCTTGAGGTGTACTTGTTGTCAATTGGCCGTGACCGAAGAGTTGTCAAATATTAAACAAGATAGCCTTTTCAGATCACATGTCTTCATATTATCAACTATTAATTTGCCAGTTGACGCAGAATATGTTTGCTAAAGATAAAAGAACTGAGATGGATAGGACACTGCATTCCTTGAGGAATGTATTAATAAGGAGGCTTTCTTGGGAAACATATTTGGAGGCCTTTAGTGAAAGAACGACTATTCATTCAGCCCTAAAATATATATATATATATATATCTATATATCCAACAACACTGACATTTATATATATATTATTGAGTTATATCACTGATTGACGTTTTCTCCAAGATGCCTGTATTTTGATGTTCACGTAAAATTTCTATCGTCATAGGCAGGTTGCCAACCAGGATCACAGAAATTCTCTTAGAAGTAATGAAAAACAGACTCGATTTCCCTTTCAAAGAAAGTCTTTAATTCTTAAACATGATCTCAACCCTTATAATCATGCTTCAGAGAATTTCTCAATGACGGAAAAGAAAATCCTATAACCTGCGACACCAGCCCGAGAGATGGCAACACTGGCGCCTGGAGATGAGGTAGACAGATATACAGGGTGTAAACGTTATGTTAGTCATTATTTAAATGGGTGATAGAGGGGGTTTAAAGAAGCAAGAAGTTTCATATAACATGGGGGTTAAAACGGCAGGTTTTTAGAGAAAAGCGACTTTAAAGTAAAATAAATCTGACAACGCCGCAAAACTATGCAAAAGGATAACTAACCACTGTTATCGTTTGCGATCGATTGCCGGTTCGATAAGAGTGATGAAAGACCGACGCGCTGTTGTCGTGGGTGTTTTAAATATCTAATTTAATGAAACTTGCTTACTGACTACAAATTTTGGCCTAGTTTAGAAAAACTTAACGCCATTTATTTGTTAATTACCAAATTTAAAAACGTTTTAGATTAGATTATAAAAATTAGTAAGATTGTGGTGATTGTTGTCGATTGCACTTAAAGTTGTAAACTATAAAGCCATTTAGACAAAAATCTATTGACTTTTGGACCATGGGTCATATGAACTTTTTGACTTGTTTTTGAATAATGACTACCATAACGTGTACACCCTGTATAGTTGTGCCGGCGCGGCTTCCAATTGACTGGTATAGTCTAGTGGAATATATTAATTAGTGGTTATGTGTAGCTATAATTTGACTGTGCCAAATCTTGCTTTTTTATATATCGACGGTGAGCTGGCATTATATGGTAACTGAAATATAGGGATTTTACAGGATAATAAAAAAACGATATACAATCTGAAATGAACTGGAATCAAATAATTTCAAATATAAGATTTTCCAAATAGGATATTTTGCATGAATTTTTATATCTAGATAGGAAGTATTTGAAGAGAAACAACAGTCATTCATCTCAAACTTTAATGATATAATAATTAACACAGACAAGTAAACAAACTTCTCTTTCATCATAACAGCGAACAGAAGAACCAAACATGTAGTCTGAAACTTACATTCTTAGAAACGGAACAGAAATTGAAAATTTCTAGTCGATATGAGTTTCACAACTTGAAAACTATACAGCAGAGGTAGCGAAAAATAAAAGAAAATTGGGTGACACTCCTTACTGATACAATAAGTTATCATAGGTCTTGACCTCATTTGAGGTTTTGTAGGTGATCCCATTTTTATTTCTTAATTTTACAAATATATTTCAACAGATGAGGGTAATCCTCAATAATAGGCACGTTTTTTGGACTGACAGGTATGTCTTTGAATTATTCGGCATAAGACAACTTAACTTGAATAGCTGGAGATGGTTCATAGTCATATTTGATGCACCTAATATCCAAAACGACAGGATCAAACGCTTTTTTGCCCGGCCTGATAGACGTAAATCGTAAGAACTTGCGTTCAGCATAGTTTTTGAACAATTACTCTATAAGATTTATCTCGTAAGGTTTTGGATGTACTCTGCATTTCTTAGCAACCGTGGCGTAGTCACTTGGGAGATGTATTTCCCTATTTTTGAGCTTTCTTTCAATCAAGCTATGAACCGAATCACATTCCATTTGAGTGTGACCCGGTTCCAAGTATTTCTGGTACCTGTTCTCCTGATGTTTAGCGGAAAATTGAGCAATACATTATTTCGATTTTGGAAGTCGCATCTATCGGAATGAATTATTATGGGTATTTATTTTCCATGTGAATGTGGATGCAACGAATTGGTTATTTTATATTTTATATACTCTTCGCTTTGCGGTTTTGTGTCTCAGGCTTTTGTTTATTTTCATTCAAATTATCTCATATTTTCTATGCTATTTTGTATTTGATCACTTCTGATGATTGCATTTTATGTATTATCTGTGGCTTTCTTCATTGTTCGCTTTTATTTAGGGTTAAGTAGAGTAGCTTAGGCTAGACTTCGCCCTGTTGCAGATTTCTGCATTGTATATAACAATGCTCAATAAAGACATAATAATAATAATAATAATAATAATAATAATAATAATTTTGGTCTTCGAAAAACCAATAACATGTATATATATATATATGGCGAGTTTCTGCAACCTAAGGTCGCTTCTCGCAACCCATACGCCATCGTATCCTATCGTTCCAGTCTCCTTCATGTAGTCCTCTACTTTCCATTGCGGTGTGGATGTTTGAAATCCATTTCCTTCGTGGTCTTCCTCGTTTATTTCTTTGTGCTGGTGTCCATTTCCAAACCCTTAATGGTATCCTTTCTTCGTTCATTCGTTGCAGGTGTCCATACCATTTTAACTGCCTCTCTGTTATATCGTCCATTATTGTATTTTCGACTTCCATTCTTTCTCTGATGGTCTCATTTCTAACATGGTCAAGTAAAGTTAAACCGGAACATCTTCTCCAGTACATCATTTCGGTTGAGAGAAGCTTTTGTGACATATTTTTATCTACAACCCACGCTTCTGACCCATACGCCAGTACTGGCTGAATCATAGCCTGATATATAATTTTTTTGTTTTCTTTGTTAGGTTCTTACTCCACAAGATCGGATGTAGTGCTTTAATCATATTTTTTCCTTTTCCTATTTTCCTTAGTATGTCTTTATTATCCTTTCCGCTTTCATCTATTGTAACTCCTAGGTACTGGTACTGTCCGACGTTTTCTATTTTTCCGCTTTTTGTTTCGATGTCTTGTCCTGTATTGTGTCTTTTGTATATTTATCTCCAAACCCCATTTAGTGAATTCTTCTATAAGTTTGTTTATCATGTAAGTCATGTCTTGCTGGTCTTCTGCAAAGACTACCTGATCATCTGCAAAGAGGATTGTATACAAGTGAAAGTCCTCTAACCATATCCCCATGGGGCTGCACTTTCTTATCCACTGTTTTAAAGCGCTGCAGAGATAAATTTTAAACAGGGTTGGAGAGAGGCAGGCTTAACACCTTTTGTTTGTGGGAAAGCCTCAGAAATTTGATTTCCGACTTTAACGACCACTTGATTTTCTCTATACATTGCTTTTACGGCGTTTATGTATTTGCTATTTATGCCTGCTTCTTTCATTGCGATCCATAATTTCTGCAAAGGGACGGAGTCGAATGCCTTGCGGAGATCCATAAAAGTAGCGTGTAGCTCCATTCCTCTTGCTAATCTCTTTTCTGTCAGTTGTTTTATTGTAAATATGTTGTCGACACAGGATCGCCCAGGTCGAAATCCACTTTGTTCTTCAATTTCCGTGGCTTCGTCTTCTATTCGGGCTGTTAGGACTCTTTCGTACAGCTTTCCGATGGACGATGTAATACTAATACCCCGATAATTACTACAGTCACTCCTGTTTCCCTTTTCATAAATGGAATTTATGTAAGAGCTCCTCCAATCTCTGGGAATCGTTTCCCCTTCCAGGCACTTGTTAAAAATTACACAAAGTAGCTCGTGCGTTCTGGTGGTGGCGTGTTTAATTAACTCGATATGTAAATCCCCCGGTCCCGGAGCTTTATTATTTTTCATTTTTTGTAATGCTGTTTTTATTTCTTCTAATTGAATGGTATACCAATAACATGTAACATCTTTACTAGCAAGATTGTAGATAGTGAAGTTGTGGCAACAGCTGAAATAGGTTTTGCCTGGAGAGATACAAGGTAAGTCCATTCTCATCACAATACATGAGCGGTTTTCTGTAAGATCGTGATCTTTTGCTTTATTTTCATTTGCTTCATTTTCGTTTGCTTTACCTTTGTTTGCAATGTGAACTCTATATTTTTCATCATCAATGTTATTGTACTTATATGAAAAACAATCATTACATTGGTCCTTCTTAGGCTGAAACAATGAAAGATTTTTTTCATTAAATGTTTTCTGAATATTTTTCGGTTAAGTGGATTCAAATTTTCTATTTGCCCATTTCCCTTACACAAGTCTTGATATACTTTATAAAGGTCGCTTATTGTATGGAATGTTTCCTCTAAGTATAATTTGGTAGTTTCTTTTCTACAATAGTGGGCTGTCAATGTTGGTAGTTTATCGAAAAACATCCTTAAATGTTCATATTGCTTGGAGTGCTTTATTATAGCTCAATCTATCTTTTTGCACTATATCTGTGATCATGCCATAAGAACTCTTCGAAAGCCACTATTGAATCGTCTTATATCCTATATCTAATGTATTGACAAACATGTTCCTACATACTTGAAGCTGTTCTTCCCCATTGTTTGAAAAATATGTATAGGTACTTTGTCTTCTTGATATATTTCATGATATAAAAACGTTTCTTTGTGGCCAGTTCATTTCATTAGAGAACTTTTAGAATAATTTTTTTCTGGCATCCTCTTTGAACTTGAAACAGTTTTTATTTTTCGCTCTTGTTACATCCTGCTGAGTTGCATAGTTGCATAACAAACAATATAACCTACCTTGTGGTGATAATGAATTGTATACAAATCACGTCGTGAACCGTATCAATACCCATTTATAACTGCATGATACGAGGTATTGCAATCATTTTTTCCTAGACAATTTAGGTGGGAGAAATTTCAAGGCTAAATAATGCGCCAAACTGTTGTTCTATGCTGAAGACTGTGTTCAAGTAGCGTGTAGCTCCATTCCTCTTGCTAATCTCTTTTCTGTCAGTTGTTTTATTGTAAATATGTTGTCGACACAGGATCGCCCAGGTCGAAATCCACTTTGTTCTTCAATTTCCGTGGCTTCGTCTTCTATTCGGGCTGTTAGGACTCTTTCGTACAGCTTTCCGATGGACGATGTAATACTATTACCCCGATAATTACTACAGTCACTGCTGTTTGCCTTTTTATAAATGGAATTTATGTAAGAGCTCCTCCAATCTCTGGGAATCGTTTCCCCTTCCAGGCACTTGTTAAAAATTACAGAAAGTAGCTCGTGCGTTCTTGTGGTGGCGTGTTTAATTAACTCGATAGGCAAATCCCCCGGTCCCGGAGCTTTATTATTTTTCATTTTTGTAATGCTGTTTTTATTTCTTCTAATTGAATGGTATACCAATAACATGTAACATCTTTACTAGCAAGATTGTAGATAGTGAAGTTGTGGCAACAGCTGAAATAGGTTTTGCCTGGAGAGATACAAGGTAAGTGCATTCTCATCACAATACATGAGCGGTTTTCTGTAAGATCGTGATCTTTTGCTTTATTTTCATTTGCTTCATTTTCACTTGCTTTACCTTTGTTTGCAATGTGAACTCTATATTTTTCATCATCAATGTTATTGTACTTATATGAAAAACAATCATTACATTGGTCCTTCTTAGGCTGAAACAATGAAAGATTTTTTCATTAAATGTTTTCTGAATATTTTTCGGTTAAGTGGATTCAAATTTTCTATTTGCCCATTTCCCTTACACAAGTCTTGATATACTTTATAAAGGTCGCTTATTGTATGGAATGTTTCCTCTAAGTATAATTTGGTAGTTTCTTTTCTACAATAGTGGGCTGTCAATGTTGGTAGTTTATCGAAAAACATCCTTAAATGTTCATATTGCTTGGAGTGCTTTATTATAGCTCAATCTATCTTTTTGTACTATATCTGTGATCATGCCATAAGAACTCTTCGAAAGCCACTATTGAATCGTCTTATATCCTATATCTAATGTATTGACAAACATGTTCCTACATACTTGAAGCTGTTCTTCCCCATTGTTTGAAAAATATGTATAGGTACTTTGTCTTCTTGATATATTTCATGATATAAAAACGTTTCTTTGTGGCCAGTTCATTTCATTAGAGAACTTTTAGAATAATTTTTTTCTGGCATCCTCTTTGAACTTGAAACAGTTTTTATTTTTCGCTCTTGTTACATCCTGCTGAGTTGCATAGTTGCATAACAAACAATATAACCTACCTTGTGGTGATAATGAATTGTATACAAATCACGTCGTGAACCGTATCAATACCCATTTATAACTGCATGATACGAGGTATTGCAATCATTTTTTCCTAGACAATTTAGGTGGGAGAAATTTCAAGGCTAAATAATGCGCCAAACTGTTGTTCTATGCTGAAGACTGTGTTCAAGTAGCGTGTAGCTCCATTCCTCTTGCTAATCTCTTTTCTGTCAGTTGTTTTATTGTAAATATGTTGTCGACACAGGATCGCCCAGCTCGAAATCCACTTTGTTCTTCAATTTCCGTGGCTTCGTCTTCTATTCGGGCTGTTAGGACTCTTTCGTACAGCTTTCCGATGGACGATGTAATACTAATACCCCGATAATTACTACAGTCACTCCTGTTTCCCTTTTCATAAATGGAATTTATGTAAGAGCTCCTCCAATCTCTGGGAATCGTTTCCCCTTCCAGGCACTTGTTAAAAATTACACAAAGTAGCTCGTGCGTTCTTGTGGTGGCGTGTTTAATTTACTCGATAGGCAAATCCCCCGGTCCCGGAGCTTTATTATTTTTCAATTTTTGTAATGCTGTTTTTATTTCTTCTAATTGAATGGTATACCAATAACATGTAACATCTTTACTAGCAAGATTGTAGATAGTGAAGTTGTGGCAACAGCTGAAATAGGTTTTGCCTGGAGAGATACAAGGTGATAATTTAACAGCTTGTACCTGTAAGTCCATTCTCATCACAATACATGAGCGGTTTTCTGTAAGATCGTGATCTTTTGCTTTATTTTCACTTGGTTTACCTTTGTTTGCAGTGTGAACTCTATATTTTTCATCATCAATGTTATTGTACTTATATGAAAAACAAACATTACATTGGTCCTTCTTAGGCTGAAACAATGACAGATTTTTTTCATTAAATGTTTTCTGAATATTTTTCGGTTAAGTGGATTCAAATTTTCTATTTGCCCATTTCCCTTACACAAGACTTGATATACTTTATAAAGGTCGCTTATTGTATGGAATGTTTCCTCTAAGTATAATTTGGTAGTTTCTTTTCTACAATAATAATAATAATAATAATAATAATAATAATTAACGTCTTTTATTTGTAATATTCTTACAGGAGGCGAGATTTAGATTATATATCTATTCTACCATCTAACCCCCCACAATAGTGGGCTGTCAATGTTGGTAGTTTATCGAAAACATCCTTAAATGTTCATATTGCTTGGAGTGCTTAACACCTTTTGTTTGTGGGAAAGCCTCAGAAATTTGATTTCCGACTTTAACGACCACTTGATTTTCTCTATCATTGCTTTTACGGCGTTTATGTATTTGCTATTTATGCCTGCTTCTTTCATTGCGATCCATAATTTCTGCAAAGGGAGGGAGTCGAATGCCTTGCGGAGATCTATAAAAGTAGCGTGTAGCTCCATTCCTCTTGCTAATCTCTTTTCTGTCAGTTGTTTTATTGTAAATATGTTGTCGACACAGGATCGCCCAGGTCGAAATCCACTTTGTTCTTCAATTTCCGTGGCTTCGTCTTCTATTCGGGCTGTTAGGACTCTTTCGTACAGCTTTCCGATGGACGATGTAATACTAATACCCCGATAATTACTACAGTCACTCCTGTTTCCCTTTTCATAAATGGAATTTATGTAAGAGCTCCTCCAATCTCTGGGAATCATTTCCCCTTCCAGGCACTTGTTAAAAATTACACAAAGTAGCTCGTGCGTTCTTGTGGTGGCGTGTTTAATTAACTCGATAGGCAAATCCCCCGGTCCCGGAGCTTTATTATTTTTCATTTTTTGTAATGCTGTTTTTATTTCTTCTAATTGAATGGTATACCATTAACATGTAACATCTTTACTAGCAAGATTGTAGATAGTGAAGTTGTGGCAACAGCTGAAATAGGTTTTGCCTGGAGAGATACAAGGTGATAATTTAACAGCTTGTACCTGTAAGTCCATTCTCATCACAATACATGAGCGGTTTTCTATAAGATCGTGATCTTTTGCTTTATTTTCATTTGCTTCATTTTCGTTTGCTTTACCTTTGTTTGCAATGTGAACTCTATATTTTTCATCATCAATGTTATTGTACTTATATGAAAAACAATCATTACATTGGTCCTTCTTAGGCTGAAACAATGAAAGATTTTTTTCATTAAATGTTTTCTGAATATTTTTCGGTTAAGTGGATTCAAATTTTCTATTTGCCCATTTCCCTTACACAAGTCTTGATATACTTTATAAAGGTCGCTTATTGTATGGAATGTTTCCTCTAAGTATAATTTGGTAGTTTCTTTTCTACAATAGTGGGCTGTCAATGTTGGTAGTTTATCGAAAAACATCCTTAAATGTTCATATTGCTTGGAGTGCTTTATTATAGCTCAATCTATCTTTTTGTACTATATCTGTGATCATGCCATAAGAACTCTTCGAAAGCCACTATTGAATCGTCTTATATCCTATATCTAATGTATTGACAAACATGTTCCTACATACTTGAAGCTGTTCTTCCCCATTGTTTGAAAAATATGTATAGGTACTTTGTCTTCTTGATATATTTGATGATATAAATATGTTGTCGACACAGGATCGCCCAGGTCGAAATCCACTTTGTTCTTCAATTTCCGTGGCTTCGTCTTCTATTCGGGCTGTTAGGACTCTTTCGTACAGCTTTCCGATGGACGATGTAATACTAATACCCCGATAATTACTACAGTCATTCCTGTTTCCCTTTTCATAAATGGAATTTATGTAAGAGCTCCTCCAATCTCTGGGAATCGTTTCCCCTTCCAGGAACTTGTTAAAAATGACACAAAGTAGCTCGTGCGTTCTTGTGGTGGCGTGTTTAATTTACTCGATAGGCAAATCCCCCGGTCCCGGAGCTTTATTATTTTTCAATTTTTGTAATGCTGTTTTTATTTCTTCTAATTGAATGGTATACCAATAACATGTAACATCTTTACTAGCAAGATTGTAGATAGTGAAGTTGTGGCAACAGCTGAAATAGGTTTTGCCTGGAGAGATACAAGGTGATAATTTAACAGCTTGTACCTGTAAGTCCATTCTCATCACAATACATGAGCGGTTTTCTGTAAAATCGTGATCTTTTGCTTTATTTTCATTTGCTTTATTTTCACTAGGTTTACCTTTGTTTGCAATGTGAACTCTATATTTTTCATCATCAATGTTATTGTACTTATATGAAAAACAAACATTACATTGGTCCTTCTTAGGCTGAAACAATGAAAGATTTTTTTCATTAAATGTTTTCTGAATATTTTTCGGTTAAGTGGATTCAAATTTTCTATTTGCCCATTTCCCTTACACAAGTCTTGATATACTTTATAAAGGTCGCTTGTTGTATGGAATGTTTCCTCTAAGTATAATTTGGTAGTTTCTTTTCTACAATAGTGGGCTGTCAATGTTGGTAGTTTATCGAAAAACATCCTTAAATGTTCATATTGCTTGGAGTGCTTTATTATAGCTCAATCTATCTTTTTGAACTATATCTGTGATCATGCCATAAGAACTCTTCGAAAGCCACTATTGAATCCTCTTATATCCTATATCTAATGTATTGACAAACATGTTCCTACATACTTGAAGCTGTTCTTCCCCATTGTTTGAAAAATATGTATAGGTACTTTGTCTTCTTGATATATTTGATGATATAAATATGTTGTCGACACAGGATCGCCCAGGTCGAAATCCACTTTGTTCTTCAATTTCCGTGGCTTCGTCTTCTATTCGGGCTGTTAGGACTCTTTCGTACAGCTTTCCGATGGACGATGTAATACTAATACCCCGATAATTACTACAGTCATTCCTGTTTCCCTTTTCATAAATGGAATTTATGTAAGAGCTCCTCCAATCTCTGGGAATCGTTTCCCCTTCCAGGAACTTGTTAAAAATGACACAAAGTAGCTCGTGCGTTCTTGTGGTGGCGTGTTTAATTTACTCGATAGGCAAATCCCCCGGTCCCGGAGCTTTATTATTTTTCAATTTTTGTAATGCTGTTTTTATTTCTTCTAATTGAATGGTATACCAATAACATGTAACATCTTTACTAGCAAGATTGTAGATAGTGAAGTTGTGGCAACAGCTGAAATAGGTTTTGCCTGGAGAGATACAAGGTGATAATTTAACAGCTTGTACCTGTAAGTCCATTCTCATCACAATACATGAGCGGTTTTCTGTAAAATCGTGATCTTTGGTTTATTTTCATTTGCTTTATTTTCACTAGGTTTACCTTTGTTTGCAATGTGAACTCTATATTTTTCATCATCAATGTTATTGTACTTATATGAAAAACAAACATTACATTGGTCCTTCTTAGGCTGAAACAATGAAAGATTTTTTCATTAAATGTTTTCTGAATATTTTTCGGTTAAGTGGATTCAAATTTTCTATTTGCCCATTTCCCTTACACAAGTCTTGATATACTTTATAAAGGTCGCTTGTTGTATGGAATGTTTCCTCTAAGTATAATTTGGTAGTTTCTTTTCTACAATAGTGGGCTGTCAATGTTGGTAGTTTATCGAAAAACATCCTTAAATGTTCATATTGCTTGGAGTGCTTTATTATAGCTCAATCTATCTTTTTGAACTATATCTGTGATCATGCCATAAGAACTCTTCGAAAGCCACTATTGAATCCTCTTATATCCTATATCTAATGTATTGACAAACATGTTCCTACATACTTGAAGCTGTTCTTCCCCATTGTTTGAAAAATATGTATAGGTACTTTGTTTCTTTGTGGCCAGTTCATTTCATTAGAGAACTTTTAGAATAATTTTTTTCTGGCATCCTCTTTGAACTTGAAACAGTTTTTATTTTTCGCTCTTGTTACATCCTGCTGAGTTACATAGTTGCATAACAAACAATATAACCTACCTTGTGGTGATAATGAATTGTATACAAATCACGTCGTGAACCGTATCAATACCCATTTATAACTGCATGATACGAGGTATTGCAATCATTTTTTCCTAGACAATTTAGGTGGGAGAAATTTCAAGGCTAAATAACGCGCCAAACTGTTGTTCTATGCTGAAGACTGTGTTCAAGTAGCGTGTAGCTCCATTCCTCTTGCTAATCTCTTTTCTGTCAGTTGTTTTATTGTAAATATGTTGTCGACACAGGATCGCCCAGGTCGAAATCCACTTTGTTCTTCAATTTCCGTGGCTTCGTCTTCTATTCGGGCTGTTAGGACTCTTTCGTACAGCTTTCCGATGGACGATGTAATACTAATACCCCGATAATTACTACAGTCATTCCTGTTTCCCTTTTCATAAATGGAATTTATGTAAGAGCTCCTCCAATCTCTGGGAATCGTTTCCCCTTCCAGGAACTTGTTAAAAATGACACAAAGTAGCTCGTGCGTTCTTGTGGTGGCGTGTTTAATTTACTCGATAGGCAAATCCCCCGGTCCCGGAGCTTTATTATTTTTCAATTTTTGTAATGCTGTTTTTATTTCTTCTAATTGAATGGTATACCAATAACATGTAACATCTTTACTAGCAAGATTGTAGATAGTGAAGTTGTGGCAACAGCTGAAATAGGTTTTGCCTGGAGAGATACAAGGTGATAATTTAACAGCTTGTACCTGTAAGTCCATTCTCATCACAATACATGAGCGGTTTTCTATAAGATCGTGATCTTTTGCTTTATTTTCATTTGCTTCATTTTCACTTGCTTTACTTTTGTTTGCAATGTGAACTCTATATTTTTCATCATCAGTGTTATTGTACTTATATGAAAAACAAACATTACATTGGTCCTTCTTAGGCTGAAACAATGAAAGATTTTTTTCATTAAATGTTTTCTGAATATTTTTCGGTCAAGTGGATTCAAATTTTCTATTTGCCCATTTCCCTTACACAAGTCTTGATATACTTTATAAAGGTCGCTTATTGTATGGAATGTTTCCTCTAAGTATAATTTGGTAGTTTCTTTTCTACAATAGTGGGCTGTCAATGTTGGTAGTTTATCGAAAAACATCCTTAAATGTTCATATTGCTTGGAGTGCTTTATTATAGCTCAATCTATCTTTTTGAACTATATCTGTGATCATGCCATAAGAACTCTTCGAAAGCCACTATTGAATCCTCTTATATCCTATATCTAATGTATTGACAAACATGTTCCTACATACTTGAAGCTGTTCTTCCCCATTGTTTGAAAAATATGTATAGGTACTTTGTTTCTTTGTGGCCAGTTCATTTCATTAGAGAACTTTTAGAATAATTTTTTTCTGGCATCCTCTTTGAACTTGAAACAGTTTTTATTTTTCGCTCTTGTTACATCCTGCTGAGTTACATAGTTGCATAACAAACAATATAACCTACCTTGTGGTGATAATGAATTGTATACAAATCACGTCGTGAACCGTATCAATACCCATTTATAACTGCATGATACGAGGTATTGCAATCATTTTTTCCTAGACAATTTAGGTGGGAGAAATTTCAAGGCTAAATAACGCGCCAAACTGTTGTTCTATGCTGAAGACTGTGTTCAAGTAGCGTGTAGCTCCATTCCTCTTGCTAATCTCTTTTCTGTCAGTTGTTTTATTGTAAATATGTTGTCGACACAGGATCGCCCAGGTCGAAATCCACTTTGTTCTTCAATTTCCGTGGCTTCGTCTTCTATTCGGGCTGTTAGGACTCTTTCGTACAGCTTTCCGATGGACGATGTAATACTAATACCCCGATAATTACTACAGTCATTCCTGTTTCCCTTTTCATAAATGGAATTTATGTAAGAGCTCCTCCAATCTCTGGGAATCGTTTCCCCTTCCAGGAACTTGTTAAAAATGACACAAAGTAGCTCGTGCGTTCTTGTGGTGGCGTGTTTAATTTACTCGATAGGCAAATCCCCCGGTCCCGGAGCTTTATTATTTTTCAATTTTTGTAATGCTGTTTTTATTTCTTCTAATTGAATGGTATACCAATAACATGTAACATCTTTACTAGCAAGATTGTAGATAGTGAAGTTGTGGCAACAGCTGAAATAGGTTTTGCCTGGAGAGATACAAGGTGATAATTTAACAGCTTGTACCTGTAAGTCCATTCTCATCACAATACATGAGCGGTTTTCTGTAAAATCGTGATCTTTTGCTTTATTTTCATTTGCTTTATTTTCACTAGGTTTACCTTTGTTTGCAATGTGAACTCTATATTTTTCATCATCAATGTTATTGTACTTATATGAAAAACAAACATTACATTGGTCCTTCTTAGGCTGAAACAATGAAAGATTTTTTTCATTAAATGTTTTCTGAATATTTTTCGGTTAAGTGGATTCAAATTTTCTATTTGCCCATTTCCCTTACACAAGTCTTGATATACTTTATAAAGGTCGCTTGTTGTATGGAATGTTTCCTCTAAGTATAATTTGGTAGTTTCTTTTCTACAATAGTGGGCTGTCAATGTTGGTAGTTTATCGAAAAACATCCTTAAATGTTCATATTGCTTGGAGTGCTTTATTATAGCTCAATCTATCTTTTTGAACTATATCTGTGATCATGCCATAAGAACTCTTCGAAAGCCACTATTGAATCCTCTTATATCCTATATCTAATGTATTGACAAACATGTTCCTACATACTTGAAGCTGTTCTTCCCCATTGTTTGAAAAATATGTATAGGTACTTTGTTTCTTTGTGGCCAGTTCATTTCATTAGAGAACTTTTAGAATAATTTTTTTCTGGCATCCTCTTTGAACTTGAAACAGTTTTTATTTTTCGCTCTTGTTACATCCTGCTGAGTTACATAGTTGCATAACAAACAATATAACCTACCTTGTGGTGATAATGAATTGTATACAAATCACGTCGTGAACCGTATCAATACCCATTTATAACTGCATGATACGAGGTATTGCAATCATTTTTTCCTAGACAATTTAGGTGGGAGAAATTTCAAGGCTAAATAACGCGCCAAACTGTTGTTCTATGCTGAAGACTGTGTTCAAGTAGCGTGTAGCTCCATTCCTCTTGCTAATC